TGTTGAAAGCTTAAAAAATACCCTAAATAAATAAAAGATTTCTCGTTTTGTTTTATTAGAAAACAATTTTAATGAATATTTTTTTTGTTTTGTTCTTTAAATGATGGCTTCATTAAAGTTATAGTTTACACAATTTCAAGGTCTGCGTTCGTGTCACTATTTATGCCTTCTTTTCTGCAAATTTTCTATCTTTTTTTCTGTTTAAATATTATAGTATAATTACATAATTTCTCTTTTTGGATGTCTTGTTTTTTTTTTTTATATATTTTCATTTTCACAGTTTATTGTCGTTTCTCGACCTTCGATTTCTGTCGAGATATTAAAATACAATATATTCGAAGCGTATTTCACGCTGCCATTTGCTTTAATTAATATTGTGTTGTTTTTTTTTTTTTTTCATTTTAGTTTGGTTTGCTTGTCAACATTTTGCAATAAATGATATATCTTTCTGTTGTTGTTGTTGCTGTTGTGTATTTAATTTGTTTTTTCAGTTTGAACTTAGTAAATAGAAATTTTTGGTTTCACTTTTGTTTTTGGTTTAAATAACTTGACGTAATATATCTTGCGTTTCATTAACAATTCTATGTGTGTGTGTGTGTCTGTTAGTGTTTGTGTGTGTGAGTGTTTAGCTGTGTGTAATGTTGTTCCATTTCATGACTTCTCTATATAACGAATTAATAGCTGGAATTATAAATAGATGCTCGAATATGAATAATGTTCTATGCGGCGCAAATGCCCTTGCCAAAGATATACTATTGTCGATATAGATATATCTTCTATATAGAAGTTGGATTGAAGCTGTCTTTCAAATAAACCTATACAAAATAGTCTTAGCTTTTAAGCTGCTTAACGGACAGTTGGACAGATATCTCAAACTGTTTTTAACAATATATATCCGAATGAAAAATTTTTTTTATTTTTTACTCCACACTGTCTTTGGTAAGCGCATTTGAGAGTCGTTGCTTGCCGACCTTGGCAGTTATTGTATTGTTTTTCTTGCTGCTATTGGCTGATTATTAAAAGCAGTTAAGTGATAAGATTTCATAGGAGGAGAGCAAATGAAATAAAATGTAGAGCTTAGTCTAGAAAGGTCTTTGCTGTGGTATGCGAATGCTTAGAGAAAAGTGTAAAATTTTACTAGCTAGTAGTTTGTATGCACTGTATGTCTATGTCTATTTGTAATGTATATGTCTAAGTCTATGTCTATGTATATGTATATGTGTTTGTAGCTGTATATGTGTCTGCGTACAGCTATATCGGTATGCTGTATCGTATAATTACTTGCTGGAAACCTCGCTGATAGTATTGAAGTTCTTTAAAGCGCGCTTTGCATTTGGTTCTACAGGATGTTGAGCCTCCACGTTCTGCAGCAACATTTTGAATGCATTTCCCTGTTTGGTATTTTCTGGCAATAATTACATATTTATATTTGATTTGATATTATTTAGCGGTAGATATAGAACGTTTCAACGGTCATGCAACGGCATCCGCATCTGTAGTTGAATCTGTGTGCAAAAAGCTGATGAATGGACGGACGGGTTGAAATAAATATCGTTAGCCAACTGAGTTCTGAGGAATGAATTGAATGTACTTAGATATATATAGTACAATATATCTACGATCTGTTGCTAGGAACAATACAATAGCTATTTGACGTATACATTTAAATGTTTAACAATACAATACATTATTTTTGTGTATATAAAAATCTACTGCTCCCATCCTAGTTCCCTCGCAGGCCTCTGATATGTTTACTCAAAATGAACCATTTGAGGACCTCAAATGCATTGCAAAATGTTGTGCCAGAGAACGCAACCAGACGCCAAAGTAAAGCATAAATATGCATATGCATATGCATGCACATATGTATGTATGTGAATTTATTTCTTTTGTAACGTTCTCTCTCAATACCGGCTAAGCATTGCATGTTGCATGTATTGTGTGTGTTGTGTGTGTTGTGTTCTTTATCCGTTCATTAGCAAGCAGGTAACATTTTTACAGCTCACACTATTTATTATGTTGAAGGTACGATGCGTTATTCTCTTACTTCGAGCTAGCTGACGTGGGCAAGTTGAATTAGACAAAGGATATGCGAGATATATGCGTATAGAAGCGAGATCGTGTTATGCGAATGCGTTACATGTTATCTATAATCTGTTATCTGTTCTCTGTTGTCAGTGTTCTGTACTCCGTTGTCTGTTATCTGTTATCAGCTCAGCGCTGGCTGCAGAAACTTAAGCATTTTGGGGTAGCTGCCAAGTTTTCGCAGCTGTGCAAAAAACAATATGAATAAAATAAGCAGAAGCCAAAAAAATTATTCATGAATAACAAATTCACCTTTATGGGCTTTATAAGTATATGACTTTTATATATATATATATATATATATATATATATATATTTATTTATATATAT